ACATCTTTATTCCAGCCTTTAAGTTTAGTCAAACTAAGTTGTAGTTTCTGTGTATTTTTATATTCGACTGTCAGCAGGGATCAAAAGTAGCCTGAGGAGGTCTGCTGGGTCGGGATCTTCATCCTCCTCTTCATTATGTGGCAGAATGGCAGAGGAGAAACCAGCGGCTGCCGGTCAGAATCAGAACCCATCAAACGAGGACCACTCACTGGACTGCTCCCCGGTAAGAGACGTGAAGTTCCCTGTGAGTTCAGGGAACTAATGTTTACCAACTCAAAACAGAGGATCTACTTTTCATTGTTTTCTAATGTGTTACAGAAAATAGATCCAGTCCTAAAACAAGCAGAGAGCTGCGAGGTGGAACCAGAACCACCTCAGGAGGTTCTGACTCACCCTGATGGAAAGGTAAGGCATCAGATCCTAAAATATGTCAAATGAATTAGTCTGGAGTTTTTCTAAGGTCTTGACCCGATTCTTTCAGGTAGAGAAAGTTCTGGCCAGTGGAGATCGTCTCGTCGTCTTCCCCAACGGGACCAGGAAGCAGATTTCAGCCGACGGGCTCTCAGCGAAGGTCACCTTCTTCAACGGAGACACGAAACAAATCACAGCTGATCAGAGAGTGGTGAGACGTTTCATCCTGAAACTGTTGGTCTCTGATCCACCTCGGTGCTTAGTTTGTCTCCAGGAAGGTCAAGCGTAGATTAAAAGGACGTCTGAATCTTGATTGGCTTTCAAATCGTTTTAATTCTTTGTGAGGAAAAGTAGAGGCTCACAGCTGAAACTTTTAAGTGCACTCTAAACAGATGTTCAAATAATGGACACACTTGTTCTCAGATCTACTTTTATGCAGAGGCCCAGACCACACACATCACGTACCCTGATGGGATGGAGGTCCTGCACTTTCCCAACAACCAGACAGGTGAGAGCAGAGGAAACTGGATCGACAGAACATTATTAAGTATTACGCTGCAATGAGTTGGATTTTGTTCAAATATGTAACTAGGAATATTTCTTATAATTTACTTTAAAAATCTTTTGGTCACCCCCATCCTTTGAGGTAACTACAGTTAGATAAGTTTTT